GATAATTTATATATCTTTTATATATATATTTAGTATTCTATATTGTGTGTACCATTGAATCAGAATCAACCCATAGCTGATCTTCCGCTTTTTCACAGTTTTCAGAGGCAGTTAATCGCACAGCAGAAAATTGTTAATTTTTCTCCTCAGGAGCAGCTGGCGGATTCAAACTGGTTGCAAATGTTTCAAAAATGAGACTTTACTTTTTATTTTCTTGCCTCTAATCTTCACAGAACTGAGCTTACTTGGTACTCACAATAGCCTGATTAAAAAGAGGCAATAAGACTCCCGATTCTTTTGCCCTTGAAATTTGCCTGCTTGGAGCTCATAATGCATTTTGAATAGGCCTTGAAATTGTAGGCCTTCAGCCTCAGGCAGCATGTCATTTGGATGCTCTGAGCAGGAAAATAATGAAAAACAGTATTCAGTTGATGTCACAAGCCATTCACCGTTCAGACAAGGATGGTTTTCAGGGTGGCTGAAATGAGGCTGGTTACTCCTGCTTCCAAACATTCTAGAAATAGGTTGGCTTAGCAGGGAGAGGTGAGTTAATTTTAAAGGTGGATTTTTCCTTCCAAGATTTTGTTATCAAAACTTTCAAACACACAGAAAAGTGGGAAGAATTATCCAAGGAGCACCTACCACCTAGATGCAACCATTGCACTTTGCCCGCCTTACTCTGTCACACGCGTCCACTCATCCATCCACTTACTGTCTACTCGCTGACCAACGCACCAATCTCATCTTCTGATTAATTTCAAAGCATGGGAGGAGCTATCAGATTGGAGCTCTAAACATTCAGTATGCATATCACTAACTAGGGCTCAACACGTACTTACGATTTGAATAAAAAGGCAAACTAATCCTTAATTTGCTCAACATTCATGTTTTTTTAAAAAAAGGCAAGATTAATGAAAAGCACAACTCTCCCGATCATCCTGCCCCTTTGCCAGCATCCACACCTTGTAACTACTAAATGACCATCACCGACATTGGAGGGCTTTTCAGAACTCGGCTAGCATCGTGCTGCTTGAGAAAAAGTCTGATGGGAGAAGGGGTTCACATCCTGCTTTGGCAAGAATTTGCAAAACACGTAGATGAGAAAACTGAAGTACCTCACTTCCTCTTGCATACTTTGGGAATGTTGTTAGGGAAGGGCCGGTCCTTGGAAATGGACATCAAGCTTGAAAAGGTGGAGGGACCCTCGTGGAAGAATGGGAAGACCCTCAATGACATAGACACAGTGACTGTAACAATGGGCTCAAGTGTATCAGAGATGGTGTGAGGCTCAGACCTGTGCATAGAATTGCTATGGCTCTTTGATCTCAGACCTTCAGACTGGAATCAAACTGGAAGAGGGTGTTTTCTTTGGCCCTTTCACACATCACCGTTTAAATACAGGCAGTTGTTTTCCCCACTCTCTTGTATTTTTTTTATATACCACCCTGCATTAAAAGTCAAAATAATTTAGAGAATCTGGAAAAAGCAGAGAGAGGAGAAGGACTGGAAAAGGGAAGGGAAGGAGAGGCACTCTGGCTGAATACTTGTCCTAGATGCAGGTCTGGTCTTCAGGTGTTGGCTATGCACTTAGAAGGCAGCAAAGGTATCTGATAAACCCATTATGACCCATCCTATTTGAGATGACATTTGCTCTGCCAAATTAAGGCACTTCTGAAGGCGGTTGGGAAATAGCACTTGCTTTTAAAAATCTGTTTGTTTGTTTGTTTGGTTTTCTTTTAAATAATTTTTGTATTTTTTAATTTTTTTTTTTTTACAGAGGTTTTGGATTTCCATTCATTCATTGCCGCAGTTTTCTCCCTTCCCACCCCTCCCCACCAGCTCACTTCCTCCTCCGAAGAGAGAAAAAAAA